TAGCTCAAGGGGCTCCTCCCCTCCCAGTTGCCACAGGCTGTCATCAATCCTGGTATTGAGGATATCACCTCAGCCCCCATCCCGCCCTGTGTCACCGCACCGCCCACTCCCATGACCTCTCTCTCCCACCCTGCACACACAATCACTGACAGGATCGCAGGGGAAACCCACCCACCCCCAAACATCCAGGGCAGATCCTGCCCAGGGTGACAGCGGCGTCACTTCCCTGAAACCAACAAGGCATTTGCAGCTGGGATCTCAGTGGGGTGCCAGGCAGGCGAGGTCAATTGGCACCTTGCAAGGATTCCCTGGGCAGAACGCGAGAATCATAGAATATCAGGGTTGGAAGGGACCTCAGGAGGTCATCTACTCCAACCCCCTGCTCAAAGGGGGACCAATCCCCAGACAGATTTTTGCTCCAGATCCCTAAATGGCCCCCTCAAGAATTGAACTCACAACCCTGGGTTTAGCAGGCCAATGCTCAAACCACTGAGCTATCCCTCCCCTCTATACGAGCTCGTGGGTATCATCCATCCCTGTAAGGACTAATCTTTGCACACACACCCCTGCCACCCCCATCAGCTCCCAAGACTCGGCAAATATTGCGCAAGGCTCCAACTGGGTGAGCGAGTCTGCATGGGTGTCCGGAGATAAAGTGACCTGGGCTCCGCCCAGCGGGCAGGGCCTGACCTGGGTGCTATGCAGTGGGATGTGCCCTAGCCTCCAAACTCCGCCCCCTCCTCATCACCCCAATGCAGGGACACCCTGAGCACGAGCAGAAGTGCTGGGTTTGGGGGCTGTGGAAGTGGGGGTTGCTGGGCCCTACCAGGCCAAAATAGCGATGGGTCTGGCTTGATCCATTCCTGCTTCCCAAAGCCGGGCCTTTAATGCAGGCTGCTGGGGGCACCAAAGGGACCCTCCTGGCCCCAAACCCATCTGCAACCTCATGGCAAAAGAGCCTTCGCCGGGAGACTCAGCAGCGTCCGGCTGAGCTCTGAGCCCGAGAGGTGGCAGGATGTGGGAGAGAGGGATGAGGCGGGGGGAACCCCTTACAGATAGCAAGGCCAGGCCAGGCCAAACACCATGCTAAGCAGCAGACAGCAATCCAAGCACAATACGCCACAGGCCAAATCCTGGCCTCATGGAAGCCATTGGTCTCAATGGGGGCAGCTCAGGGTGGGCAAAGCTGTCAGGATCGGGCCCTAGTTTACAATCAGGGTGGGGGTGGTGGCACCTGTGACTTGTCAATGGCCAGTTGAAGGCCTGTGCGGCCCAACCCTGCCATCAAAGCCACGGATGCCAAGGCCAGATAGGACCATGTGACCATCTAGTCTGACCTCCTGCATAGCCCAGGCCGGGGACCTGTCCCGAAATAATCCCTAGACCCGAGGCTGTCAGGAAAACATCCCATCTTGATTCAAAAACTGTCAGTGCTGGAGAATCCACCACGGCCCTTGGTAAATTGTTCCAATGGTTAATTACCCTCCATTACAAAATGTACACCTTATTCCAATCTGAATTTGTCCAGCTTCAACTCCCGGCCATTGGATCCTGTGAGATCTTCCTCCGCTAGACGGAAGAGCCCGTTATTAAATATTTGTTCCCCACGTAGGTACTTATAGAGTGTCATCAACTCACCCCTGAGCCTTCTCTTGGTTACGCTAAATAGACTGAGCTCCTTGAGTCTATCACAACAAGGCAGTTTTAGAAACCTTTCATCCTTCTCCTGGCTCTTCTCTGACCCCTCTCCAATTTATCCACATCCTTCTTGAATGGCGGGCGCCCGAACTGGGCCCAGGATTCCAGCTGCGGTCGCACCAGTGCCAGACACGGAGGTAAAATCACCTCTCTGCTCCTACCCGAGATTCCTCTGGTTATGCATCCCGGGACCCCCTTAGCCCTTTTGGCCACACTGGGAGTTCGTGTTCAGCTGATTAGTCCCCACAACCCCCCCCCCCCCCCCCCCCCACAAATCTCTTTCAGAGCCAGTGGGGCTTCAGCCGCTTGCAGGATCAGGACCTAGGTTTGCAAGGGAGCCAAGCGGTCAGGAGGAAATCCTGAAGCCCTTCCAAGTCGACTCGCATAAAGAAGCCTGTTGACGTCCAGAAGGCTGCTTGCAGGAGCATAAGCGTGGATGCCAGGATCAGGCCCTCCGTCCGGGCCCAATTCTGAGAGGTACTGACGCTGAGCGCCCACAGCCCCATCAATACTGCAGGAAGCTGCAAGTGCTCGGCAGTCCAGCCCAGCTCCCACTGGAGTCAATGGGAGTTTGGCCCTAAGTCAGGACTGCAGGATCGGGCCCATTGCTAATAATGCCCTTGTGTTCTCACAGCCATTCTTCCCTCTGACACAGCCCACACATCCTGGGTTCACCGGCTTTCGGCCTGTTTCTGTGTCTATTTCCCTATTCCCAGGACCCAGATGGACAGGCAGACGGGAGTCCTGGCCAGCCTCGACTCTGATCAGTCAGGCCCATCAGCAGGACGTCACACACCCCTGGGTGTCTGTGGCAAAGCAGTAGAAGTCGCTTATTGCACCACTTGCATCGGCAAAGAGACAGGGCGGGAGCAAGGCCATGGTGGGGGGTTAAATTAGAGATGGGGGGAGGGAAACAGGGTGGCTTTGGGTTTGGCTCTGCCCAGCGTTCATTGGGTCTCACAGAACCAGATCAAGGGTGGTTTGAATCTGGGTATTATCTGATCTGAACTACCACTGCCTAGGGAGTCTGGAGAAACGCTTCTGAGCCTGATCCCCATTGCTCGGAAATGGGCCAGAACCGAAGTTCCACATTCCAATAAGCCTCAGGGGGCTTTTGAAACCCTTTTGTAAAGGCCTGCACCCACTTCCCACTTGATAGAGGGCTGAACCAAAACCTGGGTCTGAATTCGGGAGGGTTCAAAATCTGGATCTGGATGACAATTTTTTCTCTTGATCCCACCTGTAAGTTCGAGTTACCGGGGTACTGTACCAGCAATTTCTCTTCTCTCTGAAAACCTTTTACCCACTGTAGTCACAGTAACACCACGCAAGCTAGAACTGAGAGGGGTGAGACAGGAAAACGAGTTCGATTTTTGCTTTTCAGTTTGGTTGCTTCGTGCATTTGATAACAATTTCTGTACAGTCGTTTTCAGGCTGTCCCCTGTCCAGTCACTTAGTCCGTTTCACCTGTTGTTTGTGTCCCTCTTTCACAGGTTTCTAAAAGAATGAGAACAGGCGACTGACACGGCCAGCGGCACGTGGGGTCAAAGTCGTGCCTGAAACGACATTGAACGAGAAATGCTCAAAAATGTTCAATCCAAACCATTTTGCGGCACAAACTGGCTTTCTGTTACTGCAGGTCGTTCCACGGGAAATGCCCATTTTCAATGTTTTGAGCATTTAGTTAAACCCTCTCTGCCCCCACCCCCCAAATAACTACAAAGGCTGGTTTTCTACAGCCAAGCATTTTTAGCCAAAACCTGAAACATTTTCATTTTGGTCAAAAATTGTCATGGGAGGAGGGAGGAAAATTCCCAAGTTGCTTTGAACTGGGATTGTTCGAAACTGACAAACTTTCCACGGGTGGCATCTCTTTAAGGCAAGGACCAGCCTCCATCTTCCAACACCATCTGAGTGATCTTAAGGGTCAGAAAAGCTCTTGCTAAAGGCTTAGGTCCAGATCTTCAAAGGGATTGAGGTGCCTAACTCCCATAGGCACCAAAATACCTTTGAGGGTCTGGGCCTTAATGACTAACCCACATGCTGTCACTGTTGGTTGACATGGACATGTTTGGGTCTTAGGCTCTTTTCCCATGTCCCTAGTAGAAAAGCCGTAAAAACGTGAGTCACGTTAGTTAACAGCCCTGCATAGCAGTGTTTTCTAGCAGCCGTATCGTCCAGGCTGGCAGCCGTCCTGGGAGCAGTGTTTATTATCCTGCTTGGCAAGTGGGCATGGACATTGGGGTGTTGGTGTGATACATAAAAGTGATAACTATCCAGAGATTGTTTGTTAAGAAGCTGTATACAATCTGTAGGGCTTCCCATTCATTTCCCATCTGGGCAAGCTGTCAGTGCTGTATATAGCCTGTCAAAAGCCAATGGCTGCCGATCCAAACACCAGACACCCCTTTTGGGCCTGGCGGGGGGAATGCAAAGTTTTGGGTCCTTAAAGCTGCTGCTCTGGTACCTGCATTTGCACTGCTGCAGAAGAGCTTTAGAGGCTCCCAGGCCCGTCTGCAGCGCAGGAGAACAGTGAGGGGGGCTGGGATCCGTGCAAGGGGCTCTCTGAGTCCCACTCTTCTCTGTGCCAAAAGTGCTGGTGGAGGGGGGACGGGACTGAAAGGATCATTGGCACCAACGCCAGCCTGTATGTACAGTACCTGCTTCCTCCTTCAAGCACACCCCACTAGCTTGATGGGATTAACAAACCAAGCGAGGGTAGTGCTGTCCCCATGTGCAACAGGGACAGATTAAGGCAAGATCACAGAGACTGGACTCTGAGCCTCCCCCTCCTGCGCCGGGCTCCCCAAACTCTCCCAAGCCACCTAAACAAAGGAGCACAAAGTTCTTTACAGATGGGGAAACTGAGGCACAAAATGGGGACTTGCCCAGAGGCAGAGCCAGGAATAGCACCCAGGAGCCCTGACGCCCATGTCTGCTCTAACCACTAGCTCGCACTGCCTCTCTAATCAGCAGGGAGCTGCTCTTCCAACGTCACACCCCGCCCCTGAATTTTGTAACATCCCAACCCCCTCCCGGGATTGGCTTTAGCTGCCTGGGGCTTCCTGTCCCACTTGGCCTCAGTCCAGGTCTGGCTCCACATCCAGGGTATTGGGTGATTTTGGGCGCCTGCAATCAAATAGATCAGACAGCGACCGCGCAGTCTCACTCCATGGCAAAGTCAGAATAACACACGTGGTGCCAGCAAACCTTCCCCCGTCCCTCGCTCCCCCAGCCTGGCCCCGGCGGCAAGAGACAGAGCATCTGTGTACAAATACTACCTGGCCGGCACCCTGAAGAGGGGCGCCTTTGACCCTCTAGCAATCTGGCATCGGGGGGGCCCCCCAGCAGCAGCGGTTTCCCTGTGCGTCTCCCCGGGGAACCCTGCCGAGTCGAGCATGTCAAACAGGGTGTTGCCTGCAGCTGTATTTTTATTTCCGTGACAGGAAGACACAGTCACACGCACGTCACCTGGACATTTGTTCAACGGTCTTTGCAATTCCACCGGCCACAGAGCAGCCCCATGCGGGAGACAGGGTGGGGGCGGGGGGTGGGGATGATTTTGACACTGGTTTTTAGTTAAAGACTCGGCTTCTTGCTGGGTATGGGACTGTCTTTCCTCTCCAGCCGTGTGTAAGGCTCAAAGGCAGAGCTCCCCAGTGCGTAGCCGCTAGGTAGGTCGTGCAGGCTCCCCAGGAGCGGGCCACTGAAACAGAGCGGGGTGGCAGGGAGCCTGGGTGAGGAAGAGGAGGATGCTAGCGACGGGACCTGCAGGCTGAAGGCTCCTGTCCCAGGAGGGCTGTTTCCACTGCTCAGCCCAGGCGAGGTGGTGCCAGAGGGAGCCAGGCTGGATCCGTTCCCGGCGGGGCTCCCGATGGGATTCGAATTTGGAGAGAGCAAGTTGGAAGGGGCCGGCACGGACAAAAGTCTCCCTTGTTCCAGGAGCCGGAGGATGTTACACGTGGCGAAGGATTCGGAGGCGGAGGACGAGCGTTTCTCAGAGTCCCTGCTCTGGTCCTTCTTCTGCTTGGTGCGCCGGTTCTGGAACCAGACTTTCACCTGGGCGGGGGGGCGGGAGACGGACAGAGTGGAGCAGAAGTGGAAAAGAGAGAAAAACAGGGTGAAGGAGGCGAGGGGGAATGGGGAGAGAGCACACAACGGGAAGTAGGGAAAGAAGAAAGAGCAGCCAAGCAAGAAAGGCAGAAGGAAGAGAGAGAGAGAGAGAAAGAGGGAGTGAGAGAAAAGGAGGGAATGGGAAAAGAGAGAGAGAAAGAGACAGTCACAACGTGTTAAACATCCTAGAGCAAATGGATTCAGCAGCCCAGTCACCCAGTCACCTTCCCAGGAGCCAGAGACAATGGTCTCCAGCCACCAGGGGATAGCAACATCTGGAGCAAAAGACCCTTCGTGGCAAACGCTGTGTCCCTCCGGGGGAGAAGATGCTCTTGCGACATGGAGCACTCAAGGGCGGGACGTGGCAGATGGAGGGATAAATGGATCCAGCAGATGTGCTCTCCCCAAGCTGTGTCTGGGCTGCCCGTTGGGCTGCATCCATTGTCCCTTTAGGCCACAAGCTCTTTGGGGGAGGGATCCCATTCGCCGCTCAGCACATTTACCCAGAGTGCAATGCGATGGCCGGATAGAAATAGCGAGCGAGAGAGATGGGAACAAACCAGACCTCGGAGCAGCCCCAAACTCTGGTGGATCTGCTTCTGGATCTGGAACCAACCTCTGTAGCTGAGCACGTGCCCTGTCCCAGGCCAAACCAAGGGACGTGGCAGATTCTCCATTGGGGACTGTCCAAAGCAAGATTGGTGTCTCTTTCTAAGACACACTCTAGCTCGACCACAAGATATGGGCTTGAAGAAGGAATCAGGGCGTGGCGTTCACTGGCCTGTGTCCGGCAGGTTAAACTAGATCATCATAACGGCCTCTGCTGACCTTGACATCTATGAACCAGACCCCGGATCTGGACATGCCTGGACTCTGGAGATGTCCAGAGTGGAAGCTCTCAGCACATGGCCGCCTCTCACTGAAATAAGGAGTGGGGCTGGGTTAAGGCTCAGTAGGCTCCAGCTACACCAAAACCGCAGGCTCTTCCTCCAACTCCTGGATGACACTTGCCCTTCGAAATCCCAAGTCTCTGTTTTTCCTCCCAATCCAGGCAGCCCAGCCACCCTAGAGCAACCAGCTCCTCCTGCTGCGCTGCCTCTGACCCGTGGCCGACCCTAGGCCTGCTCTGACCTCACTGCCTAGACGCCAAAGGGCCGAGGACCCACTTGACTGTGCCCCTGATAGAGAAGGGCGACAGAGCAAGAGCCGGATACTGAGATGCCAGGAAGAGAGATGAGATGGAAAGACAGAGATAAAGGAGGGGTCTGTATAGGGAGATAGATGAGGTGGATGAGGCGGGGGTATGGATGGGGACGGATGGATGGATGGACGGACGGACAGTCAGACGTGTTTAAATTCTAGCACTGTGGGCAGTGAGCATCTCACTCACCCACATCATTGACAAATCATGCCAGCAGGACCGTCAGTGACTCGCATCATCATAACCTGCAGCCCTCACATACCCATTGACACCTCAGACCTGCTGCACTGAGCGGCCGGACCACGGGCAAGGAGCGGGTCTTGGACCCTCTCCCAAGATAATAGTGAGGCAAGTGGCTTAGCAGGCTTAGACAAAGCCTGGGAGATTTATACGGCAGGAATAGCATCTGCAGTGACACCTGCTAGGACAGGCAGGACAGGGGCTCCAGATCCTCATGCTCCAGGGCACCAGACCAGCTGGGGTCAGGAGGGAAACCCCTCTCCCACGATATAGCACAGTCTGATGCATGCTGGGGCCTCTAACTTCTATCGAAGCAACATGCACTGACCACTGTTAGGCAAATCCCATATACGATACCCTCTGGGCTGAACAGCGCCAGGCCTGTGGACAGAGGCTATAACTGCTGAGACAGGACCTCAAGAACCACACTGTGGAGGTCCAAAGCTCACCTGAAGGGCCAGCAGGTGGGTCAAGGGCACCCACCTGCTGGTCAAGGGCACCCACCTGCTGCCCCTCCCTAGCACTGCCTAGTGGCCAGTTTGGAGCTGCACTGAGATCTCTGGGAGAAAAGCGTCTCCTTCTGGGGCCAGCGGCACAATCCCTGGGATCAGCGAGGGGCTAGAGGGGAGGGCATGGCAACCTGGGGAGGGGGAAATTCCTCTCCATTCATTGGGATCAGCCCTGGTTCCTGCGTGCCCTCGCCCACAAAGCAAGAGCTTCTTGGGGAATTCCCTGCACGGGGCTGGGCAGGACCCTCCCCCTTTCTAAGCAGCACTGGGGATAAACGGGGGTGGGAACTGGGGGCTCAGGAGACAAACTGAATAGGCCACAGACACTGAGCCCCTTCTGGCCCCCCAGGCTTGGTTCCTCTGAGCCAGGGGCAAGGAGACACTTCGGTTGGGCTGTGGGGGACGGGGGATCATGCCCCACACTCTGTCCTTCCTGGGGATAACTAGTGGGTTTCATTTCCCAGGGCTCTCAATCCTGCCCCTTTCGCCAGTGTGAAACCCACAGGGAGCCCAGTCCTGCAAGGTGCTGAGCGGCCGGATACACTCCTGTTCAATTGAGTGGGATCTCAGCACCGCTCAGGGCCGGACAAACTTACAAATAAGGATGCAAGGAGGTAATTAAAGATCTAAGCGGCTCATTCCCCATGCCTGGTGATTTACATTCGCTGCTCCCATTAATAGCAGGGTGGGTGGGTTTAAATCAAAGTGATTTAAATCACCCGTTTTAACCCTGATTTAAATCAGCAGGCAGAAAACCTTGGTTTCTATTGAGCTTTACATCTGTGCTTTTTAGTTATTTTCCTAAAACCAGGTTTATTCATTGGTTGGTAACCATTAAAACACGCCGATTTTAATGAAATAGAGCGTTTACACTGAAAATGGTGCTTCTTTTTGCACACCAGGAGGATACCCCATATCTATCTAGATTTGTTTAAGCGGTTATAAAACTCAACGTACAGTGATTTAGAGTCTTTTTTTTTTTTTAAGTCAGTTTTTATCCACCCCGATTAACAGGCCAGAGGCAAGGTACGGCCGGGGCTTGCAGTAGAGTCTGTGGTGGAAAGGAAGTGGCTTCTTCCCAAGCCATGTGTCTGGCTCAGTCATCTCGGTTCTTTCTGTTAGGAAGCAGATTCAGAGGCATGTATCTACATAAGAACGGCTGTACTGGGTCAGACCAAAGGTCCATCTAGCCCAGTATCCTGTCTACTGACAGTGGCCAATGCCAGGTGTCCCAGAGGGAATGAACAGAACAGGGAATCAAGTGATCCATCCCCTGTCGCCCATTCCCAGCTTCTGACAAACAGAGGCTCGGGACACCATCCCTGCCCAGCCTGGCTATCTGTTCTTTGAACTGGTTAGATGGTGGTTGATGTCCCCTCCACCAAAGAGAAAAAAAGCCCTGTAGATACAGGACTGAAAGGAATGCAACCCGAAGCTGGGGTGCCCAGGCTTGCATCAAATGTCACTGTTCAGAAAGGTCTGTATATTTCCGTGTATAAATACAAAGTTTCTGTGCTCTTTTCTCTGGTAGGGTCAACATGGCTCACATAACCCTACAATAACAAAAGGGCCTGGCTAAGCTAACCCTACAGTAACAAAGCAGCACTCTTGAGCAAAGCCTTCCATGTGCTATCATTCTGGATAACCTTCCAGCAGCAAACTGGGTGTGTCTACCCTGCAGCCGCGGGCGAGCTTCCAAGCCCAGGTAGACAGACCCGTTCTAGCTGGCCTTGGGCTAGTGCACTGATGGTGGCAGCACAAGGCTAGCTGTCTGAGTACAAGCCTGCCTGATCCCCCGGGTCCATGCTCAGCTGGCTAGCCCATGCCACTGCCCCTGCCGCAACATTTTAGCACGCTAGGTGGGGCGGAGCTAGCAGCGCTTGTCTGTCTACCCAGATCGGGAGGCACGCTCCCCGCTGCAGTGTAGATCATCTCTCCTTCTGCCCGTTTTTGTGTGTAAACCTTTCAGCCTCAAGCCAGGACCCTGCAACAACCCGCTTGGGGTCACAAGGAAACCCCACCTGAATTGCGCACTTCCCAAGCAGCATGGCTGAGCTAACCCTACAATAACAAAGCGGCACTAGACTTCAGCAAACCCTTCAACGTGTGACTATTCCTGCTACAGTCCCGAGCGCATGGGGTGTAGCTACACTGCAGCTGGGAGGGGGCCAAGGCTCTGCCCAAGCAAAGCCCAGGTTTACTGCCCAGAGCTGTGTGCAAACTTTTCCTTCGGGTTTTGCACCCACCTGATTGAGCACTGCTCTGAGTTTTCAGTGCAAGGCACAGTCTGTCAAGCAGAGCCGTAACAAGGAATTTTTGCTCCCAAGGCAAGGGCCGGCTCCAGGCTCTTCGGCGGCGGGTCTCCGAGTCCCTCTCAGAGAGCAGGACTTGCCGCCGAAGAATGAATGAAGCGGCGGCAGCAATTCGGCGGCAGGTCCTTTCCTCCGAGAAGGACTCGGGGACCCACCGCCGAACAAGCGGCGGTGGTAGAGCTGCTGCCGAAGCGCCACCGATCGCGGTAGAGCTGCGCCCCTCCGCTTTCCGCACCCGAGGCAAGTGCCTCACTTGTTCCGGCACTGCTATCAAGTTTCACCTCCTTTCGTGTCAAGCTATAAACGCCTCTTGGGTTTGATGCCAACTCCATCCGCTGGTTCCAGGTTTCCCTGCAAGGTTCACAAGCCTCAGAGACTCCCTTACTGAACTGGGGGCTGAGGTATGAGATTGCCAACATGGGAAACTGAGGCAGAGAGAGAGCCTAAGGCCAGATTTGTAAAGCGTCACAATGCCAAGAGCTCATTTTTTAAAGTGTTTTAAGCCCTTAGGGATCAAAATCCCACTGATTGTCAATGAGATTTGAGCACCTAAATCTCCTTTACAGATCTAGGCCTGAATGACTTACCAAGGAGGCTGTGGAAGAGGTAGGAATTGAACTCACACCTGCAAAGCTGCAAACTAGCATGCTAACCACTGGCCCCGTCCTTTCCCTATGCTCTTAG